TAGTTAGTATTTTTTGGAAAATTTAAAAACTCAAAAAAAAGACAATTTATTATTGTTAAGTTATTCAGAGTGCATTACTTGCTGCGTCTCTTGCAGATATGGGAGTTTTGTGACTCTGCTAGCCACAATGAGGATGCCCCAACACCCCACAACCTACTGTGTGAAGCCAAAAGCGTCTGGCATGTCATCAGCAAACACTCGGACTTCTCCAGGCAGCTACCTGAACATGCAACACAAGAAACCACAGCAGACACCACCCACTACACCCCACAGACCATAAGCCAGCACAGTAGCCATCACCCCCAACACACTGATCAGCTCCAAGTGATAGAAACTAAGGAGTTTCAAAAATTTTCTTCTGAAATGGATAACTTGACCAGTTCAGAAGCTCCAATTGTAGTCCATAGTATTAAAGGAATGAAACCAGAGCAAAGGTTCACAAGCTCTGAATCATTTTCCAATGCCCAAAGTTGGGTTTTAGGTGAGGTTAGGCCACGACTGACAGATTTAAGTAAGATAGCAGTAAGCAGGAGCAGCTCCGAAGTGATTGCACCAAGTGAACCATCAAGCACCCAGTACCCAGAAGGTGGAAGTGTCAGTAGCAGGAGAGGAAGAAGAGATAATATTCATGATATATGGAGTGCTGTGGTGCCCCTGCATCCTAGCCTTATCACTGCCCACATTGCAACATCCACCCTACCCCCGCATCAGTTTAAGTCCACCCCTCTACATCTCCCTGTGCCTACGCAGTTTCGTCATGACACACCTCTCCATCTTCGCTATGAGGAAAACTTGATGGCCACTGAGAACTTAGCAGACAGCCATGACATCAGTTACACTACTGAAAACCTAAGGTAAGTTTGGACAGTGAGTAGTAGGCAGTACTTCTTGTCTTGATAAACCTTCAGTGGTAGTTAGTAAGTAAATAAGTAAGTTTATTCAGGTTAACACAAATACAATTACAGTGGACCCTGGAATTTAGTAGTGCCTTTTCTCTACGCAAAACTAATTTTATTATCTATAAAATGTATGTTTTGTTAATATTCCCATAGGAAAAATGTAAATCCAATTGAACCATTCCAGACACCCAAAAATATTAACAAACAATACATTTTATAGATAATAAAAATAGTTTTGCATACAGAAACGGCACTATTAAATTCAAGGGTCCACTGTACATAGATTATCATACATAGCAGCATATATGTAAAGACCTAGATAATCCAAAAAAGTCAGACAGAGTAACTTATTTCCACTGGGGTCCTTTCAGTAGGTAGACACTGTGTTTGTCTTAAGGAACCTCAGTCTGGCATTCACTTTCTTTACTATGCTGTTCCCTATCAATTATCCTGACATGCATGGGTCAAAGGGGATTCCCAATTTTTCCCGGGAGAAAACTGAAGTGAGGGGGCCCCTTTTACCCCGGACTTTAAAAATTTATTTCCCCTTCTCTTTTTATTTTTTTCACCAAAGAGAAAAGGGCTTCATTTTTCCCCCAATTTTTAAACCCAAAAGTTTGTTGTCTACTAACCTTTAAAGCGTAGGACTCCTTCCTGTTATTACATTAACTATATCTTGTAGCCTTTTTACCTGACACTAAAAGGGGCACTGTCAAAAGCATACATTTGGAGTTTGCTTTTACCTTTTTCCCCCTCACTCCCCTCACGCCCCAACATCCCGTTTTTTCCCCGGGGCATTTAAAGGGCAATAAATTGAAGACATCCTTTCATTCTTTTTAAACCCCAAATTGATTTTTCCCCCGACGTATAAAAACGCCCAAACGAGCCAATGTTTCTGACGTATTTAACCCCCCAAAAATTTTCTAGCAGCTTAAAAATTTCCAACCCGGGAAAGGCCTGGAAGGCCTACATGAAGAGAATGGGTCCCAGTGGGGGTGTGCACCCGGGTAAAAAAAAATCGGGGCCCCCAGGGGTGCATTGTGGGAACCCATTTTTGTTAGCCCTTTTCCCCCACCACCCTTTTTGGTAAGAATTTCCTCACTCCTCGGGGGAAAGGGAAGGTCTTTTTTTTCCCCAAAAGTGATAGCTCTAACAGCAATAAAAATGTCAGGGGACAGTGAATTCCAGGTTTTAAGTGAGTTTTAAAACCCGGAAAAAGGGGCCAAGGATAACTTTAATTTAGTGATAAAAACCCCCAATGACCCACAACCTTCCACCTCTGGTGCTGGGCCGGCTTTTCCCACGTTAAATTTCGCCTGAAACCGGGAAAAAAGGGGGAAAACATTTGGCCCGTGAAACCAACCCCCAAAAGTTACATGATAGTGATAGTGATTTCAAGGTCATTAAAAGCAGACCCTAGTAAATTAGTGAAGTGAATTTTCCCCCAGTGAAGCGGCAGTATGTACGACGAAAAAGGGGCCCTGGTATTTGGTTTTTCATATGTTTTTTCCCAAAGGGGGAAGGAGAAACTCTGGGAGCACACCCCCCGGGCCCTACACCACGACCTGATATTGAAAAAGACGATATGGTAACGAGGGGAAAGAATGATGTAGTGAGGGAAAGCAGGCAGTGTGGTGATAGTGAGGGTGGCATGGCCCGTGGCCCCTTTCAGCGGGCCACGCTACTCCCCCACACGGGCTGACTCTCCCACAACAACCACCTCACCCCCCCCCACACTCCCCCAACCGCCCCCCCACAAACCTGCCCCCCCCCAACCTGCACAACCACAACCTGCACAACCACAACCACGGAACAAAATCCAGACCCCACCAGCAAAACCGCATCGGGGATTGGCAGGGCCCTGACGATTTTTTCCCAGCCCCCCTGCCTTTGATGAAACACAAAGTGGAAAAAAGCCTTTCTTTCCATTTGGGGAACAATGCCATGAACTGGACTGTTTTTGATTTTTCTTCGATAAAACCCCCTGATGGACAACATTGCCCGGGGAAAAAAACACATACTGTGTTTAACACCATGGCAAATACAATTCTCTCACCCAAAAAATCACTGCTCCCACAAAGGGGAAAGGGAGAAACGTGGCAGAATGTACCTTTTTTTTGCCAAAATAAGGGTTAAAAATTGCCAAAATGTTTTAAAAACCCAAAACTGTCACCACATACTGGGCAACAAACGCCTGATTTAAACTCCGGGTTTTTAAGATGACATTATGGGTTTCCCCCAATCGTTTCCTAAATACGGTTCCCCGTAGGGCCTACACTTTTAAAGACAAAACCAGGCCGGACAGAAGCGACGGGTTATATAAAAATAAGAAATTTTTTAAATGTACCTGAAACAAAATGCTGCATGTATTTTTACCCCTTTCAGGAAGCTTGTTATTGATGGGGCCCTTTATTTTTTCAAAGAAAGACTCTAAATTCAAGCAATATATCCCAAACCCAAGAGGAAACGTTTTGGGTAAAAAAAGCAATTTGTACTGTGGGTTTGCAGAATTTGGTCATTTTTGGATATCTTTGTGAACACGGGCAGTAATACTTTGAGAGATACCAAAAAGTTTTTGGGTTTTACTCTTTTGTTTGGGTTGGGAACAATAATGGAACCATATCTTGGTAAGGGGCAAGGGTTATTTCCCTGATAACGGGGTTAACACAAGCCCCTTATCATGATTTCTTGCGAGGGGAATTTGACAGTGAAAAGGGCACAGTGGGGTGGGTAATCGAAAACAAACCAAGGTTCACGCTGGCACTCGCGGGAGGTGAGGTGTAAGCCTTTGTGCCTATGACATAAAGGGGATTTCGGGGGCATGACAAACGGGGATGTCACATTTTTTGACATCATTTCACAAAAACGAAATGGAAACCATGGCAGGGACAACAGAGAGACCAATGAACCCCTTTTTAAAGCCCCGAGCGGTCATGGACTACAACCCCAATAAGCCTTAGTTTGGGCAAATGTGAACATGCAGATTGGGTTTGCAGACTGGGGAAAGCAAGGTTTTAAGTTGGGATATAAAACTTTTTTTCCTCTTGTTGTAACTCCATGCTAAATGCTTAAAACAAAACAAGTTTTAAGACCAAAAAAACACCAAAATTGGGGAATTTTGCCTGTCAGTAATCGAAAAATAAATTTTCAAAGAAACCAAGAGCAAATCCTGCCAAAAGACCCAGCGGCCACAGACATCCTCTCGTTTTAGGCCTGGTGATCACTACCCCATACAAATGGGCCCCCTACACTGCCAAGAAAAATGCCAGAAAGGTGTTTTTGGGATGTATCATACCCCAAAACACCCACCCAAAAACGCAAGAAAAACCCCCGTTTTATGTGTAGGGAATTGAAATTTCCCCTCAAAATATAAACCCAAAGTTTCCAAAAAGTTTCCCCAAACTTTCAGCAGTTCTAGGAATGTGTTTAAATGACGTAAAAAATGTATAAATATTAGGGCCCAAAAATAAAAAACATTGTTTTTTTATTGGGTTTTTTTTTTTTAAAACAAAGGTATACCACTAATAGTGATAAAGTTTGTTCGTTTTTTGTGTTTTTAAAAAGATTTTATATTTGGGAAAAATGCACCTTTTCATTGGTCTCACAGGCCACATAAGTTACCTGGGAAAAGAAAAAATTGAAAAAAAAATTTCAAGAAACCTTTTAAAAAGAGTAAACCCAAAAAAATACCCCCGGGGGGGCGGCAGTCCCCCGCTGTTTCCGAAAGCACGTCCCTTCGCAAACTTTGCGGGTCTATACTCGGGAAGTACGATGGCAAAAAAATTTTTTTAGGCTTAAAACACTCCCCAAAAAATATTCCTAACATTTTTTAAAAAGAAAAAATAATTTTTTTTTTTTCGAATATTTGGGGAAATAAATGGGCAGTTTTAAGAGGGGCCTGAAAAAAGTCCAAAGGGTTAAACCCGCATTGTGTGAATTTTTGAAATACTGAATTTTAAATCACAGGAAAAAACTCAAAAACATCCATGTTTAAAAAAAAAAATTGGGGCAACTAAATGTCCTAACAACACTGGGCAAGTACATAATGGTTTAGTTTGATATCCTGAAAGACTGAGGTTTACCTCTTAGAATGGGCATACACTATAGTTTATGAGGCATTGCATGATGATGTAATTACTAAATTTGGAACCTTGGCAGGGTTGTGCCAGTCCTTGGTGATGAGGAAGGAATGAGAGATGAGGATGTTGATACCACTAGCATTCCAAACTGGAGTCGGCCACCAGCCCAGGCGGCCAGGACCACTCCTGTGTGGACACCACCTTCCCTGGCCCTGCTGCTGTTGGCTCCTTCTCCAAGTGCTGTAGTGCTGGCTCTCGATTTGTCTGACCATGCCGTTGCAAAGGTAATATTGCTTGGTTTTCTTACAGGTAATGGTACAAATTGTTCATTCACTGTTTCAATAGTACAGATATGTCATAGTAAACTCTGGTTATGTTTTCTGCTTATTCTTTATCCAGACTCTCCCACATGGCACAGTGAGTAGGATCCAACCCTGCAGAGTCTGATAGAATATAACCAGGCTGTGGCCAGGGTTCAAAACAGTAAGGGAAAGCCCTGTGAGACTTTACTTGCCTACTGGAGCCCATTCTCCAGGTAATAATAATAATAATATATAATAATATCGTGATTTCTACAAGTACATGTACAAGGTATACAGGCCTAGCTGACATCAATGACATACTGTACTGTACTACTACTATACAGAAAGCCACTTGTTATGCAGAGCATTTCGGGCAAATTAAGTCAGTTTTGTCCCAGGATGCAACCCAAACCAGTTGACTAACACCCAGGTACTCACTTTATACTGATGGGTAAAAAGGAACAGTAGGTGTCTTATGGAAACACATCCTAATGTTTTCCAGCCATACCAGAAATTTGAACTCCGGACCTCAGTGTGTGTGCTGAGTGCGCTAGCAGTCATACTTACCTTGCGGCTTCAACAGGAAATGTTCCAACAACAACATAAGACATCTTCCAGCAACAGCAAGAATAGGGTCATGACCCAGCTAACACTCACCCTTACTGATTTTCAGCAGCAGCAGCAATAGTGCCTCTCTCAGCCTCAGGGTGCCCAGCCTACTTTCCCAAAAAGGGGCATTTCAAGATATCAAATCCTGGTTTTCAAACCTGAAAACGTTTTGTGTTGAACTGGTTGAACCAAAATGCATGGTTGTTGTTGCAGACAGAAATTAATAACTTCCTGCATTGTGTCACCAGTCTTCAGACAGTTATTAATGCCAAATTCCTTGAAGAGAAGTGTTACAGCTGGAAGAGGTAGTGAATGCATTGGAGGAATTGTTTTGCTTTGTTTGTTTGTATTGTATATTATTCTCCCAACACCACCATCATGTGGGATAAATTCAAGTCAGCGCAAGAGTGTGGTGAAAGAATGAGAGAGTTCGGGACCAGATGCCAACAGAGTGCATTAGATTGTCAATTTAGGTGCCCCTTGGGTGATATATCAGAATACAGCCATCTTTTACTTTATGGGTGAGATGGGACCATAAGAATGGTTTGGTGAGCAAAAATCATGTTCAACAAATCTAATTTTCTTGTAAGATCCCTTGTTATAACTTAAGATGTGGACCAAGATTGTAGCTTCCCTGTATGTAATTTTGAGACTCTATGACCGCGGGTTCAATCCCGGCCGGGGGTATGGTTTATTTGCAATCGTGTCATTACGATTTCTTAAGTCAGTTAATTTGATTTTCTTGTAAGATCCCATGTTGTAACTTAAGATGTGGACCAAAATGGTAGCTCCCCGTATGTAATTTGAGTTTTCTACGTTTAGTGAATCTGATTTTCTCATAAAAGACTAATCACAGATGGATCTTAGCTGAGACTTCAACATCAACCTTGGCTACTAGATGATCAGCCTGTAACTGATTTCATCAACAATATGAACAACACACTTCTCATACCAACAATAACAAAACCAACCAGGCTCACTGTGACAAATGCAACCATAATAGACCACATATGGACCAATATACTACCCCCCCAAAATCAGGGATAATCACAG